GTGATGAAAAACTTGAAACTGAAAATGGAAAATATAAAATTTCTGGTATATAAAAACCCCCATTCAAAATTAAAATGAATTCCTAATGTAAAATGTAAATTGTTCTTGTTGAATATCCTGTTTTACTTGAATGCGTTTGATGTTCTGTAGACGTCTATGTGATTAGTTTGAAATAGGTTAAACCTGCATGTGTGATGGTAGTTTTCTTTGTTTTTCAGGAGGGGGGAAGGTCTTGGTTCATTGTGCCAGAGGAGTGATCTTGTTACATCAGTGTCTCAGTAATGGATGCTCTGCAGTGAATGGGTGCCGTCAGAATGAGAGTCCAAACAGCTGATAAAGACATCACAATAATCCACAGCACTCCAGTCTATACATTAACGTCAATTAAGTAATAACGCCTATAATAACGCCTCTCTCATTGAAATCCACAAACATGTTTGTTTAGAACTGTTTTGGTTTGTAAACGGTTTCCCACTGGAGAAAGCAATATTATGGATTATGGATTCGTATTTTAGGTAGCAGCAGTTTAAAGTTAAAATGCATGCAGCTTTTGTCTTCTCCAGATGTTAACTGATGGACTGGAGTGCTGTGGATTACTTGTGGATTATTGTGATGTTTTTATCAGCTGTTTGGACTCTCATTCTGACGGCACCCATTCACTGCAGAGCATCCATTGCTGAGACACTGATGCAATGCTACATTTCTACAAACCTGATGAAGAAACAAACTCATCCGTATCTTGGATGGCCTGAGGGTGGCTAAATTTTCTGCTAATCTTCATTTTTCTGCAAACTATTCCTTTAAGAAATTGTAAACAAATCATAGAATTGCCATTTACAATATACAAACAAACAGCTCTGGCTCAAACCTTAAGGACAATAATCCTAAATCATGATGCTTGATCACAGTTCTCAGCATTCATTTGGGTTCACTTGTGTACTGTGGTGTTCAGTTTTGTATGTGTAGAAATGTGCAGGGAAATGTGTGAATGTGTGTTTTGGGGGTTAAGCTCTCTCTAGTGAGAGAAAGAGGGAACGGATCTCTAAAAATAACCCAGGATTTAACACCCACCTCCGGTCCATCGTCAGACCAATGCAGTCGACTCAGCTCAGCACCTCTCCACCCAACCTGAACACATAAATACAGAGAAAGAGACAGATATTGAAGTCAGAAGCGACACTGGGACTCCTCAGGATGATCAAACAACATCCAGCTGTTGATTTACACCTCAAATAAGACGTAGTTTTGTGTTCGGCCTGGTTTTCATCTGAGCTTCTGCTTTTGGGTCTCATTTTTACCCTCTCATGCTGTTTTAATCGAATGCGTGGTTGAAGATGACCTCAAGAAGGAAGTTTGGAGTGAAGTCTGAGGTTTCTGAAGAGAAAGAGGAATATGTGACACCAAACGGCTACGAGCTGGAGAAACACCTCATGCACGGCAGCGTCGCCTACACACACGTCAATGAGGTCTGGCCCAACGTCTACATAGGAAATGAGTGAGTTGTTTTGTTTGACTAACCTTAATATCAGTTTGGATGCTAATAATGCAGGATACATGAAAAGGATGCATACTAAATCCACTCAATAACATTTGCCCTGCAGCTATACAGTAAGTCGACTGATTATTTTCCTGAAACCATCTCAAAAGTCAGAGCTGTTTGTTTGTCCTACATCATATTGTAAACTGCAATTCTATGATTTATTTACAATTTCTTAAAGGAATAGTTTAATCAAAAATGCAAAACTGCTGAAAATGCACTCACTTTCAGGCCATCCAATAAGTAGATGAGATTTGGAGAAATGTAGCATTGCATCAGTGTCTCAGCAATGGATGCTCTGCAGTGAATGGGTGCCGTCAGAATGAGAGTCCAAACAGCTGATAAAAACATCACAATAATCCACAGCACTCCAGTCCATCAGTGAACATCTGGAGAAGACAAAAGCTGCATGTTTGTAAGAAACAAATCCATCAAGATGCTTTAACTTTAAACTGGCGTAGTTTCTGGCCAAAATACATCAGTCAGTTCTAAACTGATGCAAAAATGTGGAATAGAGTTAGAATGATTTTTATAGTCATCGTTCTTAGAACAGGAGACTTGGGCTGAACATGGACTAGTCTAAGCTTTTTTGTTTCTGTGAAGAGAGATAGCAAAGGACCGATACAAGCTGAAGACGATGGGCGTCACGCACGTCCTGAATGCTGCGGAGGGCGAGTGGAACAGTGTGGATACCGGCGCTGAATACTACAGAGACATGGACGTGCATTACCTCGGGATCACGGCGGAGGACGTTCCCACGTTCAACCTCAGCCAGTACTTCTATTCTGCTGCAGAACACATCCACCAGACCCTCAGAAACCCCCAGAGTGAGCTGAAACACAACATTTATTATTCACTAAAGCAGTGGTTCTCAACCAGGGGCCAGGAGCCTATAGGGGCCCTCAGCAAACTTCCAAGGGGCATTAAAAAGATTTAAACAAGTCTTCAAATAAGCTAAAACAACCAAAGAATCAAGATATTTCTTATTTTAATTATTTTAATTCACCCCACTGATTTTTTATTTTTTTTAAAGGACAAGGATTCTTGGAAAAGTCTTGGAAAACCTGGATATTTGAGAAAGCCTCATTTTAAAAGTGTGATTTCTAGACCTGGAAAAGAATATGCATAGTTGACTGAATATGCAAGTAGAAATTGTGAGTAAAAATAATTTTAAAAACCCTTATCCAGTAAATCACGGACTGGGAAAGTCATGCAAATTCACTGGTTTAAAAGAATGGGATCCCTTTTACATTTACTTTTACTAATATTTATACATACACTGAACAAAATTATAAAGCAACACTTTTGTTTTTGCCCCCATTTTTCATGAGCTGAACTCGAAGATCTAAGACTTTTTCTATAGACAGCATTATTATTGCACAGGTGTGCCTTAGGCTCACATTTTAGAGTGGCCTTTTATTGTGGGCAGCTTAAGGCACACCTGTGCAATAATCATGTTGTCTAATCAGCATCTTGATATGCCTCACCTGTGAGGTGGATGGATTATCTTGGCAAAGGAGAAGTGCTCACTAACACAGATTTAGACAGATTTGTGAACAATATTTGAGAGAAATAGGCCTTTTGTGTACATAGAAAAAGTCTTAGATCTTTGAGTTCAGCTCATGAAAAATGGGGGCAAAAACAAAAGTGTTGCGTTTATAATTTTGTTCAGTGTATATTAGATATTTAGTTTGGCATAAAGAGTTAATGTGGGGGGAAAATACATTTTTTGTTGTGGACAATGGAGGACCTTGGAGTCAAAAAGGTTGAGAACCACTGATCTAAAGTCTTCTGCTTGAATGAATTTCTTTACAAAGCTAAAATTTTAAATGCAAAATAATTGAAATGAATGAGATGGAATATATATTGAAGGAGAAGCAACATGAAGTGCTCCTTACACTTGTTCCTACTTCAGTAGTGTTTAATTTGGTTGGATGAAATCGGTTGATGAAAGTCCAAGACTGAGCAGAGCTGGAATCTTGACAATAAAGAAGTTTTCATTTGTGCCACTTTCTTCCAATCACAACATCATTCCCAGTCCTACATCGGTGTTATTCTGAGAGTTTTCATCGCTTCTTTTAACATGTGGCACATACTCAAAAAAACAAGGAGATGTGTCCGAAACTCTTGACTTCTAGTTACTGGCACTGCATGGGTGAGCTTGTGTCATCTTGGCGTTTATTTCTCCAGATAAGCTTCTAATTCACTGCATGATGGGCCGCAGTCGCTCCGCCACACTCTTCCTGGCCTTCTTGATGATCTACGAGAACATGACGGTTGTAGACGCAATCGACCACGTCAAACGCCGGCGCCGCATCATCCCGAACTGGGGCTTCCTGAAGCAGCTGAGAGAGCTGGACACACACCTGCTGCAGCAGAGAAGAGCTCAAAACACACGAGCGGACGAGAGCACAGATACTTAAACACGCCAACTGAAAACATTTACAAATATTAGATGAGACTATTTCTGTTTGCATTTTGTGATGTAGACAACATCACTGGTTAAGCAGCCAGTGAAGAGTGTTAAAGTTTTAAGTACATTTTGGTTTAGTTTGATTTTATGCAAATGAAATGTGTAAGAGGGAATGCTAACAGAAAGCTTGTTCCAGGTATTAGAGCTTCTTCCTATCAAATTATGAGGATACACACACACACACACACACACACAGAGAGAGACACCAGGATTACTAGTTAACTAAAACCAGGGGGAAAAAATATTACTTGAAATAAAATAAAAACCCCATTACTTAATGTTACTTATTTTGTTACAGTTAGTTGCCAAAGCAACATTTCTATTTTTTTTATTTAGTTTAACTTAATGTACTAAAATAACTAAATAAAAAATTTAAAACACTACACACTGTAGATATATTTAAAAATAAATAAATAACAACAAAAACACAGCAAAATTACTACAATTTTAACTAAAATGAAAATGGAAAATAAAATAAAATAACTTAAAAATGATGTTGGTACTAAAATAGCACTGAGACACAATAATAAAAAAAAGAGATGTACAACTTTGGAACAATTAAAATCTTTTTATTAAAGTGGTCAGTTGAACGGTCCTGTTCCAGAAGTGGAAAGAGGAAAAGAAATTCCCACATCAGATGTAACTTCTGCATATTTAAAGATTGTGCGCTTAAGATACAATTTGGTATTTCAAAGTAACAATATTGACCTGAAAGACATCGACTTGCTAGGCAACAATCCTATTATATAATCCTGTTACTTTAATTTTACTTTTTTAGACATATTTTTGAGACATATAAATGCACTTACTTAAAAGGATATAATAGATTAAATATAGAAATGTTCTTGCAATGTAGCATAAAAACAGATGGAAGACAAACTACTTAACACAAAATCATCGGAGTGTATATATGTGGTCGTCGCAATCCTGATAAATGCCCGTTTTAACAGGAAATGCGTGTAAACGAATGCAGAGGCACGCAGGTTGTGTTTCTGGAATTTCAGAACAAAAACAAATGAGATGGAAAGATTCCGCATTGGGAAATATGTGAGGGAGTTAATGGAAATCAGGTTTCTCGGGGAAAGTGCAGCCGACTCGCCGGATGATGACATTAGCGGCGTAGTGACCTGCACGGATACACTCCTCCAACGGCTTCTCCTGAACCAACTCTGACAGGAATCCTGCAGGACACATAGACAAATATATATATAGCTCATGTATAGGTTCTGTTCCAAAACCTAGTGAGCCGTCTTGATATCTACTGTTCTCCCTACATAGGCAGCATCCTAATCCTAATTCTTCTGTTTGAGTCTATGGCAGCCCACAGAACGGTATGATAAAAAGTTGTGAAATTTGGCACACGGATAGAGGACAGTCTGAACATTAACCACAGCAAATTTGGAGTCTCTAACTCAAAGCCTCTAGCGCCACCAACTGTTCAAAGTTGTACTTACATTGATGCTAATAACTTTTGAACCGCAAAGGCTAGAAACGAATGACATAATTTTTCTCCAAGATGTTACAATTTTTGCAAAAATCGAACCAGATCATCTTCAGACCATGGCGCCAAAAAATTATGAAATTCAAGTTGATTAGTTAAACCGCTCTCGAATAACGCGCGAACGAATTTGACGAAGAGCTTGTTAAAGTGGACTTGAGGCTATATCTCTGCAATGCTTTAGCATATTCAGACCAAACTTGGTGTATGTTATAATAACCATGACCTGAGGGTACCTGCAGAGTTTCAGCACAGTGCCACCTAGTGGTCTGGAGATATGAAAAATGGCTCTTTTTGCTTCTAACGTCTGAACTGTTTGGCCAAAAAAAATAAAAAAACTGGTCTCTTTAGATTCAGAGTTAATCAATACCCAATTTTTCCATATTGGCCATTTTTAATTTTGGCTGTAAAATGCTATATTTTATGTATCACATTGCCGCGTTGTTACAAAACTCTGTATGTGTCATCAGCAGCATGCCCTGAAGGTACTCAAAAAGTTTATATTAGTCTTCCTCTACTTAAAGTACTGCTTATAAACGCATATGCATACTCTAAATATTTTATATACACTGAAATGAAAATGTGAACCAAACCATTTTTCACTCAGAAATTGCAAATAATTACAAAGAAATGGCGAGTAATGCATTGAATGAAACATACTGACTGAAATAGTAATTACTTGTAAAACGTACTCCAATAATCTATTTGCAACTGAAAAAGCAAATACAGTGTACTGTTAGCATGATATTAAAGAGTGCACAGTTAATAAATACTGAATTAATAACTCAAAGCTTCATCGATTCTAGAAAAATTGCCTAAAATGATCCGACCAATCATTTACCTCCCACAAAAGCATCACCAGCACCGTTAGTATCGACAATGTCGTTCTGGTCGATGTCTAAAACAGGAAACATTTTCACTTTATCACCTGAAAGAAGACAAACAGACAAACGTTAAGAAAACACAACTTAAAGACAACACAAATCATCTGAACCCGTCCAGATATTGTTTGATGGACGTACCCACAGTGGCCACAGTGTCTTCTCTGCCCTGAGTGAAGACCACGATCCTCTGCCTGTTCTTATTGACTTTGGGCAGACACTGAACTCTCCTTGCGATCTCAGCGATGTCTTCTGTCTGCAGGAACACGAGCACCAGAGCGAGATGTTGAGATGGTACTGAGAGCGTGTTATAGGAGCAGTCCATCCAAAAATTATCATTTCTTCTTTTGTGTTCAGTGTGCAAGAAGAAAAAAGGCATTACAGTATTTTTCATTCACCTCAAAGCCCTGTTCTTTTGCAAATGTAGCAGCTTCCTATAAAACAAACATCATCGGTTAGCATGCAATCATCAGATGAGAAGATGAGAAGATACATGCAAAGGGAAAGCAATCCAATAACACTCTACTCTGATTGGCTGTAAATCCTGTTTGTTTCTGGTAAATAGCAAATAAAGTCCTATATATTCTTTCTAATCTAATCACGCCAACTGATATGATCAGAAATCTCTGGTTTCTCCAACCTAATATAGTGTGATATAAAATAAAATGACCTCCACACATGACATTTAAGACTTTATGAGAGCTTTTATCTGTAGACACTGTGCTGATCCATTCCATCCACCCTGATCTGAAGACTCACCGTCTCGTTCCCGAAGATGATGTCAACATACGGCATGACCTTCATCAGCGGCTCTTTGAAGAACTGGCTGATGAAGGGAGCTGAGAGGTTCAGACCGAAGATCTTGTTGTTGTCAGATGCGTGTTTGGCCACTTTGAGGATGGACTCTGGAGACACGGTCAGGAAAAAGCCCTGCAGGACAGCGATCAGGACAGAGAGAGACATCAGTAGTTTCCTGCATAAGTTACAGCTGCTGATAAATCTCTCTATTCTCCCAGATGAGCATTCAAACACACGTGATGCCCAATGTGAAGCACTTACTGCAATGTAGTAAACTCTCGCTTTCTCCACCAGACTCCAGTTCCTATCAACATCCAGATGTTTCTCTTTATTATAGCAGTTTGCTGCTGCCAGGTTTGCAACCAGAGACCTGCAAACACACGATAATAGTCAAACATTGCTCCTGATGAGGCTCAGGCTCATGTAAGTCCATGTGAGTGAGGGCCTGAAAAATCACGTTTTCAATCAGAACGGACTGGATTGTCATAAACAGTATAAATCAAAGTTTGAACGCTGTAGGAAAACTGCATTAGTGCACTGATAAATCATAAGACGTTTTACACTTCCTACATGCAATCAATAAAGATGCAACTATATTAGTGATATTATTGGAATCAGCCATAATTCATACATTTTTTGTTTTTGTTTTTTAATTGGACTAGTCCACCTTAGTTAAGGAAATATTAAAGGAGTATTAAGCAGTTACCATAGTTACATTGTTACAATGCTTCATTTCAGCAAAATCATTTTACCAAATCAGACATATTTTTAATTATCTGCTATAAAATGCAATGACTATATTAGTGAATCCCTGGATAAAACAGTGTATTAGGTACATTATAATGGTTTGATGTCTTATTTCATGTTTAGTATGAATTGTGATATAAAATAAAATTAATCCTATACTCTACCGTTCAAAATTGAGGTAAGATTTATTCCTTTTTTATTTTTAATAAATTAATTTTATTCCGCAAGGATGCATTAAAATAATCAAAAGTGACAGTAAAGACATTTATAATGTTACAAAAGATTTCTATTTCAAATAAAAGCTGTTTTGAACTTTCTATTCATCCTGAAAAATAAAATGTATCACAGTTTCCACAAACATATTGTGCAGCACAACTGTTTTCAACATTGATAATAATCAGAAATGTTTCTTGAGCAGCAGATCAGATGATTTCTGAAGATCATGTGACACTGAAGACTGGAGTAATGATGCTGAAAATTCAGCTTTACGTCACAGGAATAAATTACATTTTAATATATTTTCACACAGAAAACAGATATTTGAAATTATAATAATATTTCACATTTTTACAGTATTTTTGATCAAATAAACGCAGCCTCGATGAGCAGAAGAGGCTGTTTTATATCTGACCTGTTGTCTCCAGTAATGCAGGCTGCACAGGTTCCTGTCGGTTCTTGACTCTGTTCATAATAATGAGCGTCAACATGAGCTTCAGCCGCTTTCTGCTTCAGAATCTCGCCGAAGTGATCCGTACCTATACAGCCGAAGAACGTGGCCACTTTATGCGGCTCCTGGATCATCCACTGAGAGACAGAAGATGTCAAACATACATTATTATGCTGGTTTAAATTAATGATCTAAAACAGCCTTACCATAATTCCCTAATAGACATTTTGTATATGTGAGCCTGGAGCACAAAAGCAGTCTTAAGTCGCTGGGGTATATTTGTAGCAATAGCCAAAAATACATTGTATGGGTCAAAAATCATTAGGATATTAAGTAAAGATCATGTTCCATGAAGATATTTTGTAAATTTCCTACTGTAAATATATCAAAACTGAATTTTTGATT